CGTGCGCTACTACCGGTCAGGGCTACCGGTCTGCGAGACCGGTTGGCGACGCGCGCGACGTGCGACCGACGAGACCGGATATGCTGTGCACGTGCGCAAATTTCAAGGGAATATGTTTCAACCCGGTTGATGAATATTCACGTAAATAAGACGGCCGTTTCTAACTCGAGTCAGGTTGATGTAAATCCGGTGGAGGTGTGAAAACCGCGTACGGGGAATATGTATGGGCTTAAGGGGATACTTTAGACGGAAGGATTAAAAGCTATCGTCGTCGATGCGCTTGCCACTGCTTCCGGCGTGTTGTTCGATAATCGAGAAATTCGGTTCGATCCGTTCTTTCGTCGAGCGTAAAGAAGAGGATCCAGGAGAGGATACGAGACGTTGGAACGTGTCGAAAGGAACGATGACTTATCTGTACCGGCTATTATATTTTTTTTCTTTTCTTTTCTGGCGAATTTTTGATGGAAGCTGATGAATCGGGACTCGATGAAATGTAAAAGTGGTTTATCGACCGACAGGCCACAGGTTCGGTCGTGAATCCGTTCAGAAATAGATTTAAAAAATAATACTAGGAGGGGAACGATCGGGCCGTAGAACGGATATATCGTTTGTTTTCCCAAGTGGAGTATCCAGGGACGCTGCAGCCGACGCTTGAAGGAGATATAAAGATCCCGGCCAGCATAGAATTCGCGATTTCCTTCCGCACAGATGGTACGAAATGATCCTTTTCACTCCGTATTATATACTGCTCCCACTCCATACGTTGCTTCCTTCTCTCGCCCCTTGAGAAACGTAGACAGGACATATTTTGTTGTCGAATTACACGTATATAGCCATGTATCTTCTCTCCATTTGCAATTTTTCGACGAGTTATTAAAAGGGATCGAGAAAGGATCGAAGGCGCGAATTTTCAAATGTGTGAGACGAAATTAACGAAAAGTGATTGGATAGAGGGAAATTTTATAAAGAAGATCAAATATAGAGAAGTTCTATATAAGAATCGAAGAAAAATTGAAGAGAGAAATATCCTTGCACTCCTCGTGAATCTGTATCTTTTTTTTGGTCCGTGATCAGGCAGGAATCTACGTTAGCTATCGAACCTTGCTGTCATCCTTGCTGTCGAACTCGAAAAATTACCACCAGAGGACACGAAAAATCAACGCGAATTTGAGGGTTGAAAATCTTGCCCATAAAATAAAAAAAAAAAATAAAATACAACGCTCCACCGTATACGATTCTATTTTTGAAAATTGAATTCTGATAACAATCGAATCTCTGATAAATTTGACAAATGTTCCAAACGATATTCCAGCGATAATCGGATGAAGAATCGCGTCTCACGATGTGTCGATGAATTTTTCATCGTGGAATCAAGATCTTGGAAACGATGAAGGATTTTGCATAATTACAGTAGCCGATAATCGGGTTTCCCATCATGGTACGTTGGTACTTGAACGGACGAGCAATCTGCCTCCATCTTCTACTTGGACATCGTTTCCGATTCGCCCAAGATTCGTGTACAAAAGTAAATGCCCTCTTCGACGTTCTCCCGGCCGCTTAGTTAGCCAGAGATTCTAGCTTATGGATGGAGGATGGTCGCAATTCCGTCGTTCTGGACTCTGAAACCCTGCCAACCCTTCCTCCTACTCTCGCAAATAGCCTCTTGTCCGACCACGGCATTAATGCCCGGGGATTTTGAAATGTAATGCGTAGGAAATCGGTGTACCGATGATACCTCGTTGCCTCTCGTTTATTAAAGACTCCTCGAAATTCCAAGACGAAATATCGAAACGTGTCACCGTGATCTTCTCCCGTGATAAGAGTTACAGTTTAACTTCCACCAAAGTTTGATCGAGAAAGATTGATAAGTAATTATTTATAAGATTCTTGAGAGGGGAAAAGTTTGGAGAGAGGTGAAGGAGGGAAATCTTTCGAGCAAGCAAAAGAAATTAGTCCTCGAAAAAAAATGGGAGGAAAGGCATTCGTTATTTCGTAATTTTCTAGAGTCGCGAATAACTTTATAATCCGATACGTCTCTTCTCTGAAGATCCCTGGAGATTTTACGCTGCTGCAATTTTAATTTCTACCGCGAATGCAGATTTCCTCTGCGGTATGATGGTATGATTACATTCTTTGAAGATCATCTTTACGAACATCGAATATAAACTCGTAATAATAGTCTCGTTTTTCTTTCGCAACGTTATCAATTGTTATCAAAGAGGGATGGAGCAGGACGAGTTATAGAAAGCTCGGTCTCCCTTATCATGCACTGACCGTAATCTTCCGTGGGGCGAATCGGTGTGCAGGCGCGTATACGTGCACACATTGCCGCGCACGAGCGAAATCAGGGGGTTGGTATTAGTGTTACGACCCGTTGGGACAATGGTACAGGCGATAAATTAACAAATGAATTAAAAGCGTCGGGATAGAAGCTGAACAATTGCGGTTTCGATCCCATTCGTTGGTCACGTACGTTGCAACGAGCTTTAGCCAACGGGTTTCGTTGTTTCTTTTATCAATTATCTTCGAGCGAGCCCGAGGCACGTTGCGGGGGGAAGGAAATACAGGAAAAGATTCGATAGCTTGGACGGATAAATTATCGATCTCGATACACCCTCGATATAATAAACGATCCTCGAGATTTTCGATTTCTCTTCGAAACTTCCTTCGCATCGATCCATTATCGAGTTCCTCAAAGCACGGTGTGCACCGGTCTTTGACTATTAACGAGCGATCGAGGGATGATACACGAAATTGGATATCCATTAACGGAATAACCAACGACACCAAGATCGAAATCGCATCGCGGACAGCATCCAAAGTTTATTTTCGCTCTCCATCCGTTTTCTTCTTCCGACTTCTTCTCCAAGAAATGAAGTGGAATTAATGAAATTCGTTTCTCGGACGATCGACGCTGAAAATACGGAATGCAAGACGAAAAAAAAGAAAAAAAGAAAAGATAAATCGCCGGTTATTATTATCGACGAGGGAAAGAAGGTCGGGGAGAAGAGAATTAGCAAATTAATTAAAAGTATTTGATCAAGGAATCCAAACAATCGGAATCCAGGTTTTTCGGTCACGTAGCCGGCTCGCATTCACCTTTTCCCTTCTCCATCAGCTTCCTCCGCAATCCAGACCGTCCCATCCCCCTCGCACCACCACCCTTTTCGCCAACGTTTCGCCAAGGTGGAGGCAGATGCGCTAAATAGCCCGCAGGGGAAACCAAAATGCTCGCCTCCGTCGCCATGAATGTAGCTCGAGGGTGCATTTTATGGGGCAACGTTCGCCCGCCCGATCTTTCTCTCTGCGAGTCGACTATCCCCCAAACTTCCAAGATCGATCATCCCTCTTCCGTTTACGAGGCGGAGATCGCGGTTTAAATTGCTCGAA